AGATTTTTCTAGCATGTCCTAAAAGGCTCAACTTTTTTTCCACCTTATACAATGGATATATTTCTGAGGATCCTCTTTTACTGAAGTTTCATTGATTCAGACTTTTCAAAGACTACCTCCTGCTTCTCTTATTCAAACTGCTATTCAGACACATGGTAAATTTCTGGCAAAGTGGAGAGCTACAGGAAAATGTCTCCTTTTCAGATTTCAAATATTAATTATCTTGAAGGGGAATTATCCATATTTTGGTATATTTGGAACAGATATTTCATTGAGAACTTATTGAGCAGAATCAATTAGTTAGCTGAGTTTAGTCCTTTAAAAACATGAGCAGGCTTTTTGTTTCCTTTCTTTTGGTAGGAGTTGGAAGAAAGATGCTCTTAAAGACAAGCACCTAATTATTTAATTCCCTTCCTGCATCAAGACATAAATAAACAACTAACTTTATAGAATTAAACATGCTCTGCTTTAGACTTTTGCACCCTCTTAACTATTTGAATTTTGAAAGAGAGAAGAACCTGTTTGTTATTTTTATTGTTATTAAATGAATTTTAAGAGCATTAGACTGTCATATTCAAATGTACATACAAAAATATATTTCCTTTCCTACTTCTTTAGGATTTATTTATTCTGACGTGTTAAAGATATTAAAAATAATTATCTATTTATGTAAGCAAATCCTAGAATCAGATTTAATTTTTTTACTTGATTTACAGATTTTTATTCTTGTTCCTATGACTGTAATGTTCTTTCTTCCCTGCCAATTTTTGCATGTTTTCTATTTTAAAACAAAGCTCTCTCATTTCTTTTTAGAATTTCTCTATCACTTATTCTAGCTCACTCTTGTAAGAGTGATGCATGCTTAGCACTTGATATATTCATACTATATTTGTGGCAATGTTTTGTTTCTGTGGAAACGTGCTTTTTAGTTTTCTGTTGGTAAGTTTGCATTCTTCAACCAAGAATGAGAGGTTATTTCCTAATTCACGTCCTCTAGTTATTTTTCCACCCATTAGCCCTTTGGCTTCTGAAGGATGATCAATAAATTTGACACAGCAATTCCATAGAAAAATCTGACTCAATTTTATAATTATATAGGTCTTTATCATGTTATTTAAAAACTCATCATCTGCTCAGTTCTAATCAAGAGTAACACCAGCCGAGGCTAGTCTTGATCACACAGTTCCTTGTTTCAGATTCATTTAGCAGGCAAACTGATGCAAGATGCTGAGGCATATTCAAATTAGAGTGTAGCATCAGAAAGCCCTGCCTTTGGGAAGAAGCCACAGTTTCTCCCAAGGTATCTACTGGGTAATCCTCATTCACCCACCTCCACTACTTCATTTACCTTTACATCCCATTATAGTTGGGCCATAGTTACTATCGTATCATATAATCTTCCCAGTTCATGGCAGTTGGGATCACGGGGAGTGATTGTTTTTTGGTTTTTGCTTTTTTGTTTGTTTGTTTGTTTTTAATCAACAGAATGTCCTCAGTTAGAATTCTTTTAATAGAGTTCATCCCCTTGAATTGTTTTCTCTTCTAATTTAATAAAGTTTGCTGCATTTGAGGACACTGCAAGAACCGTCTGTTTAGTGGAATAGTTGAATTGATAAAGTAGAATTAAAAACACAAAAAGTATTGGTAAGGATTTATGTCTGCTTATTTTCCTTCTGATGAATTTTTCATTTTTTAAATTAAAATATTGAATTTAGAGAAAATTCTGCATCCTAGGCAAACTGACTCCAAATGTATACAAAAGAATAATTCTCTAAGTGTTACACATCTGGCTATGATGAGTTTTATATATTTCTTTTCATTTGATTATTTTTATAACTTTTTAAAAGAAAGGTTTATAAAGAAACTGTCCATGGATATGTTTTTAAATTTTCAGAAAGGGGGAAAAACCTATGTTAAATTCTTAGAGATCGCAGATTACTTAGAAGTCTCTCTTTTCTCCTTTCTACATTAAAGAATGAATTCCTTAAATTCTTGGAGATCAAAATTAGACATAAATATGTCAGGTTTCTAGGGTTTCTCTTTTTCCTGCTTTGTCACACTTTGTATGTATTTTCTATGAGCTATCTTGAGCTAGATTAAGATTTGCTGATATATTATGAGTTGTGATTAAGATATGACTAAGGAGTTACTAGGTACTGGGCACATAGTGGTGCAGAAAATGAAATAAACTGTATTTGAGGGGTATTTGCTTAACTTCATTGTAAAAGAGGAAGCAGGAAAGGACTTCGGGGAAAATATGGAAAAGAAAGATGAAAGAGATCAGGAGAAAAGATGGGAAGGGAATTATCTGCTTAGCTATAGTTGATTATGTATTTGCTTTTGTTTGAATTTATTTTATTTGTTCTTTTCTCATTGAATTTTAAACTTCCAGAAAATGGGGGACATTACTTCTGCTGTCTTTGCAACTTCCGGATCCTAGTAGTGTCAACTCAATTATCCATTGAGAGATTATCTGCTTTGTGTTTTAGCCTTTCACAAATATAGCCTTGAAGTTCTTATTGACATAAGTAAACAAAGAGGGTGAAAAGACTTTGAGTCATTTCACTATTTCATGCTTACTTTTAGACTCCCATGTAGCTTGGCTCTTAGATCAAACTATTCAGTCAACCTTTAACTTAGATTCAGTTACCGCATATATTTTTTTCTTAAAAAAAAAATAAAAGCAATTTACAATAAAAGTGTTTTTCTAGTGGATTTAATTGTCTTTAAGTTGACTTCTGGCCCCTGCCTCTCCTAGCTATCCCTCACCTAGGGCTAAAGATCAACCCAGTATATGGTTCCTTCTGTATTTAGGGATATAGGATCATGCCCGGATCCCTGATACTCAGCTGACTCCAAAGGACTTGGAAAATCTTTAGCCATTAAAGACAGCTTTAATTGGAATACACAGCCCACACATACAAAGTAGAGAAGAAAGGGTAGATTTTAGAAGTATTTTCAGTAAGGATTGAAACGTTAATTTTCTGGTGTTCTCTTATGAAAATAAATATCCAATTAGCTAGCTTTAAATATAATTCTCTTCCCCAGCACAAGAGAATGATAAAATACAGATACAGCAATTTTAAAGAAAAAGTTTTATTTAAGCCTGCTTTAAAAAAATCTGAGAGATGGAGTTCTCTATCTCTAACATGAAGCAACGGTCAGGAAAGAGTTATTAAGGATCATTGAACAACTTTTCAATTCATTATAGTATCGCTATATATGTTGTCTAAAGCATTGTCAATTACAGAAAATTAAACATCATTCTGTTCAAATGTGGGTACAAATATCTCTATCTGCCGTATTGTACTATGTGCATAACTCTGTCATAGCTTATATGAATCTTTATTTAATCACTTCCTGTTTCCTTTGCTGTAGAGAGAGTTCCTTGAAGTCAGGGCCCAGGTCTTTGAGCTCTGTATCTTTAAGATTTAACGCAGTTCCTGGAATATGGCAGATACTAAACAAGTGTTAGGTGAATTAATCATTACACGAGCTATGAATGTTTCTGGGTGTTTTTTTTCTTTGGTTTATTTCTTCGTTTTTTAGGGAGGATTGCAGTTTTAAAAGTTAATAGATAAGGAAACGTTGACCATGATGTGCTTTTAACTTGCACCATGTATTTAATTTAGTTTTTGATTAATATTTGAAGTCATTAGTCTCTTATTTCTGAGGAAAAAATATGGGGATCACCTATATCTTTTTTGTACCTTTGTTGTTTTTCTTACCTAAAAGCCAAATGTGTTAACTAAGTTATAAATATTGGATAATAACATCTTCTATTTATTTAATACTTTGTACTTTTCCAAGAACTCTCACACACATTATTAAGTCCTATCTTCACAACAACCTGAAAGAGGTATAGCTAAGGAAACTGAGGCAGAGATTTATGCCAAAGGTTGTAAATTTAAAATCTAGACTCTAGGACTTTTGAATTTCTGGTTCCGTGCTATTTTGCATTTACCTTACACTTTTAAAATTATTTCTTGTTGCTTATTGTATTGGTTTACTAGGGCGACTGTAACCAAGTATCACACAGTGGGTGGCTTAAACAACAGAAATTTATTGTCTCATAGTTCTGGAGGCTAGAAGTCCGAAATCATGGTGTTGGCAGGATCCCTTCTGAGGGCTCTGTGGGAAGGATCTGTCCAGGCCTCTCTCCGTCTTCTCCTTGTATGTCTTCACATCATCTTCCCTCTCTGCGTGTCTCTGCCCAAATTTCCTCTTTTTAGGGGCCAGCCTGGTGGTGTAGCAGTAAAGTTCATGCCTTCTGCTTCGGCGGCCTGGGGTTTGCTGGTTCGGATCCTGGGCGTGGGCCTGCTCACTACTCATCAAGCCATGCCGAGGCAGTGTCCCACGTAGAAGAGCTACAACTCTACAACTATGATACACAACTATGTACTAGGCCTTTGGGGAGAAAAAGAAAAAGAGGAAGATTGGCAATAGATGTTAGCACAGGGCCAATCCTCCCCAAAAAGAAAAGAAAAAACACAGATTTCCTCTTTTTATAAGGACACCAGTCGTATTGGATTCAGGGCCCACCCTATTTCAGTATGACCTCATCTTAATGAATTAAATCTGTAACAACATTGTTTCCAAATAAGGTCACGTTCTGAAGTATTGGGGGCTAGGATTATGACATATTTTTGGGGGGGACTATTTAACCCATAACACTTAAACCTTTTTGTGAAAGAAGCTTGACTAGAGATAAAGACTTTTTTCCCCCAATAACTTAATAGAAACTCCTCCTTTGATCCTTACTGCTCTGTTACCTGTCAGATGAAATTAATACCAGTGGAAGGCATTTTTGACAGAATCATCTCTGTTCTGGTTTTTAGGGCCATAGACTGATCTAATGATTAGTTTGTGGAAATACCCATATTTATAATTTTATTTCCCTGGAATTTTGTTAAGTTAGACTACAAAAAGTTAACCGAGAACTAAGCACTTCTCTTGGGGCTAATCTCGTAAAATAAATCTATCTGTCGTCTTGTGCTCCAGCTGTTCTCTTGTGCATCTAAATGGCCCCACTTCCCTCGAGGACTTAGGCAGATGATGGAAGAGTCTCTGAAGGAAAATTTAGGTTAATCAGACTATCAAGTAGCTAGGTTTTTTTTTTAAGTTATTCCGTGAATAAATGGTGAGAAGACTTCTTGAACAGTAAGATTCAGAGGGAGACAATGAACTCTACTGTTATTTAGATAAAATCCTGATTAACTAGAACTCTGGTAACTGGCCTGTTTAGTTTAATTGCATTCCCACCCTTGTATCCTGCTTTAAAAGGAAGAACTAACACAAAATGAAGGCTCTTCTGGGTTAATAGAGATTTAACCAAGTCACCTTCATATTAAATGTATTATAATATGTATAATCATCATCATCATCATTCTTAGGAAGGGCCAATGATTAATATTGAAGAAAATGGTAATTTTGAGGCAATGCAAAGTCCTTGGTTATACACACAGGTTGGCTTTTTGTACTTATTCAAATCGGAGAGTGAACAAGTGTATTTTAGCGTAATTTCTTTCTTTTAACATGGGCTAAAACAAAGAACACTAGATCAGATTCACACACTTGGGTTCTTGCCCTGATTTAGTTCCCAACTAACTGAATAACCTTGGGCAAGTTATTTCGCCTTTCTAGGCTTCCTTTTTTATCTTCAAAATGAGAGATTTGCAGATTCAGCTGTGAAATTTATTATTCTGTGAAATAATTTGTGTGCTTATTCTATTGAAGATGTAGTATAGGATTCATAGAAGCAAAAGGAATGTTCCTTGCCTTTAGAAAGGTTACAGTCTAGGGGCCAGCCTGGCTGCCTAGTAGTTAGGTGTGCGCGCTCTGCTTTGGCGGCCTGTGGTTCGCGGGTTTGGATCCCGGGTGCGGACTGACGCACCGCTTGTCAAGCCATGCTGTGGCGGCATCCCATACAAAGTGGAGGAAGATGGGCACGGATGTTAGCCCAGGGCCAGTCTTCCTCAGCAAAAAAAGGAGGATTGGCAACAGATGTTAGCTCAGGGCTGATCTTCCTCACAAAAAATAAAAAAAGAAAGGTTACAGTGTAGATAGATGGAAAGCTGCAATGTGTGAAAAGTTGAGTGCTAGTATAAAGTAATAATATAAGATGTAGCATAATGGATGCTCTGAGTGATATGGACTGTAAATACTGTGAGTTCTCAAATGGGCGAGATAGGTATCTGTAGGGTAGAATCTTCTGAAAATAACTGCACAGAATTGGGGACTGAACTAATTCCAGAAAGCTGTATTGATCATGCATAGATGAAGGGAGAAGGGCAGGGGACTATCTCAAGCAAAGGTGTAGAGGTTGGAGCCTAAGTAATATTTGTTGAAAACTAGTAAGGTTGTTTCTAAATTACAGCACACACTAATCATGCGTATATTTGGTTCCCAACCTGTCCAGTTTAGAATGTTTTATCACTTTTAAGTTTTACTTGGTATAAGTAGTTATGGTCAAATAATTTAAAGATTTTTTTCTATGGTTTTACAATATAAAAGTCTGGAACAAGATGAGAGAATTGAAAGAAGGACTTGACTTAAAAATTCTGAAGTTCAAGGCAAAAGCTTTTTTTTTTTTTTGATGAGGAAGACTGGTTCTGAGCTGACATCCATTGCCAATCCTCCTCTTTTTGCTGAGGAAGATTAGCTCTGAGCTAACACGTGTGCCCATCTTCCTCTATTTTGTATATGGGATGCCATTACATCATGGCTTGCTGAGCGGTGTGTGGTCCGCACCCGGGATCTGAACCTACAAATCCCAGGCTGCTGAAGTGGAGCATGCGAACTTCACCACCACGACACCAGGCCGGCCCTCCAAGGCAAGAGTTTTACACAATTGGTATCACACAATTGTTGATTAGTTGCATCTGATTAGGATACGTTTAATCGTCTTGATATGTTTATGGTTTTCAAATCCTAAAGTATATATTTATTTTAAGTACATTTTAATTTTTTAGATTTAAAAGGATCAGTTGATTATTTTTTATTTCAGTTGCTCCTGGAAAATTGTGTAGAATAAAAAAAATTTAAAATATATTTGTGGCATTTAGTATTAAAGCACTTTTGTGAAGTAAGTGTTTCCTTGATTTACCTCTTACAGTTTCTTAAGGGGGATCAGTTTTATTATATTTTCTGTTAATGGATTCCTTAAGAATTTTAACATATTAAGTGGCTTTTTTTTTTTTTTTTTTTGGTGAGGAAGATTGTCACTGAGCTAACACCTGTGCCAGTCTTCCTCTACTTTGTATGTGGGATGCCACCGCAGCATGGCCTGATGAGTGGTGTGTAGGTCTGCACCTGGGATCGAAACCCACAAACCCCAGGCCGCCAAAGCTGAGCACGTGTACCCAACCACTACCCCAGTAGGCCAGTCCCTTAAGTGGCTTTTAAAAACTCCGATATTTTGGGGCCAGCCTGGTGGCCTACTGGTTAAAGTTCCGCGTGTTCTGCTTTGGCGGCCTGGGTTTGCAGGTTCGGATCTGGGATGCAGACCTACTCCACTCATCAGCCATGCTGTGGAGGCATCCCATGTACAAAACAGAGGAAGATTGCTACCGATGTTAGGTCAGGGTGTCAATGGATACAAGCAAAAAATGAGGAAGATTGCCAACAGATGTTAGCTCAGGGCGAATCTTCTTCACAAAAAAAAAAAAAAAAAGGAGGGCCGGCCTGGTGGCACAAGCGCAGGCACAAGCAGTTAAGTGCGTGCGCTCCACTGTGGTGGCCCAGGGTTCACCGGTTCGGAACCCGGGCACGCACCGATGCACCACTTGGCAAGCCATGCTGTGGTGGTGTCCCATATAAAGTGGGGGAAGATGGGCACGGATGTTAGCCCAGGGCCAGTCTCCCTCAGCAAAAAAAGAGGAGGATTAGCAGATGTTAGCACAGGGCTGATCTTCCTCCCAAAAAAAAAAAAAACTCCAATATTTTATATGAAGATTAATAAGAGAATGATAGTGTGTTAAACATGTTCCCAGATTTATCTCCCATAGCACCAAGCACAAGACTGTTTGCATATATAGGCACTCTATGTCAATGCTGTGTGTTGTACAACTGGTGGGATGAGTGTATAAGTGGATGAGTGAATAAATATATTCAGATTTTTTAATATATATATTTATACAAATTTGTTTTATATATAGATATATAAATACACATTTATACGTATAGTTATTTGTTTTATACAGTATATAGACATGTATATATATATGGATATTTTATATCTATATATAAAATAATATATTCTGTTTTGAATAGTTTGGATGAGAGTTTTCCAAGGTGTGTGCCATTGAAAATGTTCTATGGAAAAGGTCTCTATAGCCAGAAAGCGCTGTGGCCAGGGTTCCTTTCCCAGTCGGGGAACCACACCAGCCGTCTGTTGGTTGTCATACTGTGGTGGCTGGATGTTGCTGTGACGCTGAAAGCTATGCCACCATATTTCAAATACCAGCAGGGTCACCCATGGTGGATGGTTTCAGCAGAGCTTCCAGACTAAAGACAGACTAGGAAGAAGGACCTGGCCACCCACTTCTGAAAAAATTGACCATGAAAACCCTATGAATAGCAGTGGAGCAATGTCTGATATAGTGCCAGGAGAGGATGGTGCAAAAAGACCGGGCAGGGTTCCACTCTGCTGTACACAGGGACTAACAACAAATAGCTAAATAGATTTGGATATATGGTATATTATGTTTATGTCAAGAAATTCTTAATATAGATTAGCAACTTAAAGGTTCTGAGTGGTCCAGCAGTAAAGAAACTTGTTTAATTTAGCTCAGCAGGGGCCGGCCTGGTGGCGTAGCAGTTAAGGTCACATGCTTCGCTTCGGCGGCCTAGGGTTCGAGGGTTTAGATCCTGGGCTTGGATCCGGGTGCAGACCTATGCACCGCTCACCAAACCATGCTGTGGCGGCGTCCCACATAGAGCAACTAGAAGGATATACAACTATGACATACAACTATCTACTGGGGCTTTGGGGGGAAAAAAAATTTAGCTCAGCGTTTCTAAAACAAAGATGGAGTGCTTTTTAAATTCTTAAATTGTGTGTGTGTCTGTGTATGCGGGCATGTGTGTGTATATGTGTATGTACACACAAAATTTGGAAAGCAGTGGGTTTTTATGTAACGTAAGTGGTAGAACCGAACAGATGGTGATGGTATTTCATAAGACTTGCAGGTAGCTGGGAGAGCGTACGTAAGATTACAGTTTTTACAGGAGTTAGTGAACTAGAGAGAGTGAAAGCCTGCCATACCCTTCACAAGTTGTTATAATGCCATTGTTAATTATATACCACAGTGGAAGGACTGAGAAAGGAGAACAAAAGAGCACCAGATGACCAAGAAGGAGGATCCCCAGCCCTCACCTCCTTGCTTAGGTAACGCAGATACCAGTGCTGCTTTGTGACAGCAGTGAGCATGTGAGCATTCCGCGTGGCTCAGATCGCCTGGCTCCCTGCCTGGCTTGGGTTTTCCCTCACTGCCTCAGCTCCCAGTGTTCTGTTCTCACGTCGAAGTAACTAAGGCAGCAGGAAGGCTCCATAGCCACGCACTCTTGGCCTTTAATCATTTTAGGTTGCAAACATTTTCAGCTCTATCTCAGTACATTTATTATACAAGAAAATATGATAAATATAATAAGGCAACAAAATTCGTCAATGCGTACAAGGAAAAACTTGGCACCAAGTTCTGGATCTGTGGATTAAAAAAAACTTATTTAAAGTAAACTGAAAGATAATCGGAAATGAGCTGATTTTATTAGGCTCCTTTTTCGTTTTTCTCTAAGAGAAAACATTAATAAACATTAATAAATCCAATGTCTTCTATTACTAGGAAAATAAATACAAAGACTTAGACTCATTTAACAATTAAGTGAAAGAGGAATTGAATTTAAACAAGTGAATTTAAAAATAATTATTTTGACTTTTTTTTCCTGGAAATATGTATTGTGTTTCCCTCTGGGCCTCCTCAGGTGACCTGATGTGCTTCTTCTGTCCCAGGAATCACTACATCCATACCAAACTGTGTGTGTCCATCTGACGGACACTGCAGATCACGGCTGAGGAGGCCTGAGTTTTGGGGTGTGTTCTGTCATGACTGGCATGTATGTTTTGTCATGGCTTAATGTCTTCAGAATAACTTGTATGTTCTCAAAGCTCACTTTTAAATCTAGTTTTTAAACTCCTATTAAGTTATTTAATTAATTTAAAAAAGCTATGTAAACACTGAAGGTTTTTATAATTTAGTTGGCAAACTGCTTTACCATTTAATCCTTAATTAAATATTGACCCACTTTAATAAAGTAGCCACCACACAAAGAATACTGAATAAGACGTGGAAAAAAAAGGGAGGAAAAAAGATAAAAATCCCTCATTAAAATGACCAGTTTGTCTATTGCAGTAAATAGTGAGACTATGGATAAATATCTGTTCTTTTTTTTTTTTTAAAGATTTTTTATGTATTTATTTATTTATTTTCCCCCCAAAGCCCCAGTAGATAGTTGTATGTCATAGCTGCACATCCTTCTAGTTGCTGCATGTGGGACGTGGCCCCAGCATGGCCGGAGAAGCAGTGCATCGGTGCGCGCCCGGGATCCGAACCCGGGCCGCCAGCAGCGGAGGGTGTGCAGTTAACCGCTAAGCCACAGGGCCGGCCCAATAAATATCTGCTCTTATTCCCAGTTATTGGAGCTTGGGTATATTAAGGTTTAGCCATAGCATGGGTAATCAAAGTTCTTTTATTGTCCGTAAGTTCAATATAAGATTTAATGGCAGCTTGGAGTAGGTCACAGATCCCTTAGCTGGTGACTAAAAGCTATGAAGATATTATATAGCTGTTTAAGGGGGCATAGTGAAAAGAGGCAAAAAAAAAAAAAAAATCCAATCTCTCTTCCTATAATAAAACAACAGAAATATGTAGTGACCCAGTTTGGATTGGCATTTGGGTCGTGTGACATAGGGATTCTCCCTACTGGGATTGAGCACTAGCAGAGAGCTCATGCTCTGGATGAAAATATAAAATGATAAGCTTAGCTTAAAAAAATAGCCTTCCTGCATTTGTTCAGAACTTACTGCCATTGTGTTTCATATACTTTGTATTTTTACATTCCTGTTTTGGAGTTTCCATTGCTTTGCTTCTATAGCTTTGCATGGAAACTGTGTGTATAAGTAGGATTGAGTAGTAGGGAGAATCTAGAGCTTTTGCCCTCTTCTAAATACTACAGAATCTTTTCTATTATTAAAAAGTTAATGATACTGATTTCTTTCAATGTATGCCTTACTAGTCTCATATATCTTTGTTTCTAGTCATCCCTATTAATGATAGAGTTAAATTTTAATCCTCTGTGAAAACATTAGTTGCTATGTAAATTGATCTTTTAGGATACAAGGGTTCAGAGGTCAGATGAGTGTATGGAATGGTACATATTATATCTCTTTTTAGAGATTCATAATGTACAGTATAATGTCAAAGACTCTGAGAGTTGCTGAAGTAAATAATCTCGTTTAGTCCATAGTTTCTTTGGAGGCCAATGATAGAATAAAGTGACAAGGATGTCTGTTGCGTTAGTACTTTTGTATTTTGGTGGGCTTGTTTTGATATGATTAAAATAAAAGCCCTATGAGATTAGCCTACTCAAAAAGTTCTTTTTCATTTGAGATATCTTTAGTGAAATCATTTAACACACTCTTTGGCACATAGTAGATGCTTAATAAAAGAATTTCTGTTCAGATTGATCGAAGATTGACAGTGAAATACAAAGACTTTAGAAGTAGATGGCCTGTTGTAATGTTTAGTACAGTATTGTACTTGTAGTAGTTCTGTAGAATCCTCCTTTCATGATTGCTCCAGGAAATATTTTACCTAAATTATCCATCTGGCTTTGTCTGGCTTCATATATGGGGTTGGGAGGTGGAGGATGGAGAGACTCAGGAGTGGGGAGAGCCTGGGAATCCTGGGCTAGGAGCCTAGGAATCCTGGAATCCTTAACCCAGCTACCCCAGAGACTGTAATAGAGCTTCATCTAGGTTGATTTTTCCTTCCATCCTTACACATGGGGTATTTTGTCTGTGCCCTTATAGGCCTATAGCTGAAGGTGCTGCTGGATTGGAAATAAACAGGACAATTGAATGTACCGCTGTATTATTCTTCTGTTTTACTTTAGAAATATTTAAGGCTTTTACAACTTGAGGGGGTTACAATTCTGGCTCCTTAAGTCCTGCTTGAAGGAGAATGAACTATACTTTCATAATGTCAGATTTATCTATTTATCAATATATTCAAAGTATTTACCACAGTAATAATGGTTACTATTTTAATCATTAATGTGCCAGGTATTGTGCTGGGCACTTTTCATAGATGATCTGTAATTGTCACAACAACCCTAAGTGGTAGTTAACTAGGTAGCTCAATTTTGCAGGCAAGATATGGTCTCTGAGATTTATATTGTTTTTTTTGTTGCAGTTCTTCCCATAAAATTGTCTGTAATTCATTTTTCTAAACTTGTTTTTAAAGCCTTTAGTTAGGATCCAGTAGGTTGGAGAGTAACAATAGGGGAAAAACCCACTTCTCTTCTTTTGAAACTCACCCTTATTTTGACTCATTTACGCATTCTCATTTTTTACTGACCCATTGGATTAATCATTTTTTGGCTTTCTGTTTAGGATGTATCTTGCTTAGAAGTGACCCAGTGGAACAGAAGGATGCTTGGAGACCGAGGAATGAATCTGCTCCATTTCCTCTTTGCCCCCACTGCTTTCACTCCTGTGAGTGATTAGGAGTAGACAGGGCTGTGGCGGTTGTTGCAGAGATCAGGATTCTTGAGGGGGTGTAATGGCTGCAGTGGTGGGATAATCATTTTAACTCCCTGTCCTGCGGCCATCGTGGGCACAACTGGTGGCACCAGACAGCTGCCTGGGGGTTCTTAGTGATTTTTTCAGTGGATTTTTTTTCACGATGTGGGAGTTGAAGAATGGCTACCCAAAGTAGTTGCACTGGGCGTTCAGTAACAAAGACCAATACTCCATCTTAGACTAAGCAGTTATTTATTTGGACTGTTGCAATATTTTTACTATTTTGATCTTGAGACTCTCTCAGTCTCAAATTAATACTTTACAGTGTATCATGAATAAGGACTTTGTAACTAACAAAATGTTACGTTAGTTTAGTTAGTTAAACTAATGGATGCCAATGTCATTCGAAGTACCTAAACCTATTAAAGCAGAATTCTTTTGCCAAATCCTAGCTTAAATTATGTGCCAGTGCTCCTTTTGCTTTATTATTTCTTAAACTTGTTCCTGGCAGACTAAGGTTGTAAAGGTTTGTCAGACCCTACTCTCAGCCATTGGCTATTTCATTTTTTTTACAAGTTGTACTATGGAATTTGGCATTTATTTTTTTATTGAACTTGGCAAAAGCATACACAGTTTAAATGAAT